ATGCACAATCTCTTTCTCAAGATCTTAGGGTTTTAGAAGGGTTTCAGGTCCCGTCTTTGCATGTGTTTGTGCGGCTTTCAGAAGTTTTGGGGTTTCGGAAGGCTATGCCGGGTTTGTTCTCCGAGCAGTGTGGCGCACACTATGGGGCCGCAACATTGAGAGTTAGTGAGTGTCCGGTCCAGGTGCCCGCGGAATATTCCGCATTCCCACCGTGCTCATATCCTTGTCCTCCGTAAAGTCTGATGCATTGCGGCAAGCATGTCGCTGGAAGTTTGACAACTCTCAAACTCTGCCAGAGCACCCTAAACCCTAAACCCTAAACCCTAAACCCTATTCGGGGTGGTGGCCCTGGTGTTGCGCTGGTGATCTCCTGACGGTCTGGCGGTGGTTTTCTGGTGGTCTCCTGATCTCCTGGTGGTCCCGGGCTCCGCGGCTGGTCTTTTGGTGGTCTCCTTGTGAGCTCCTTGTGATCTCGTGCTGGTCGTCGTGGTCCTGAACGTCGTTGTGCTCGTGATGTGCTGGTTGTTCTGGCGCTTGGTCGTCGTGGTCGTTTTCGTCGTAGTCGTCGTGGTCGTCGCATTGTTTGGGGATCAATGCTGGCAGAAAAAGACTTCTTGGGACTTGGTTTAGGGCCGGTTTTGAGTATCTGTACTCCGGTTTAGGTTATTTCGTTTTTGAGTGGTGCGGGGCACGGGTGTCTTGTCTTAGGCTGTGCAAACACATGTCTGGGATTTTAAACTATAGGCTCCTAAATCATTACCTATACTATTTTGGGAGATCTTGTTATAATGAAAGTGTAATGGGCCCGAAAGCCCTATTCTCGTTATTAAGGCCCCTACATTACATGATTGCGGGTCTAGGGGCTTGGGCATTTGACACAGGAAACCCTGACTTACAGGTGTTTTTGAGCTTTCGGAGATAGGGAGCGTCAAGCCTTTAAGGGTCTAGGGTTTATGGAGCCTTTAAATCTAAAGCCCGTAGCACTTCTTCGCATTCTTTGAACATGCCAGAAAGGGTTACAACCTGCATGCCGGAAAAGCAGAAACGAAAGATTTGAATATGGGGTTCAGGGCATGCGGGCAAGGCCTGTCGTGCGGAGCCTTGTGCCGCCCGAAGATACAGCAGCCTCACACCCGAACGCCCCGAACCCTTAAACCAAGACCTCGAACTTGGGTCCCCGAGCAAAGCGGGAGGAGCCGGCAACATTCGATGAATCGGACATGCACAAGAAGCGGCGTCCGAAGGAGTTGCGCCCTGGCTCCTTTGTGATTCAGACTCAAGGCTCGGGAATGTACTACAGGGGCCTTAAAAAAATACCTATATTATTCTGGGGTTCCTTATTATAGTGATGGTATGGTAGACCCCAAAACCCTATTCCAATTATTAAGGCCCCGACATTACGTTTCGAGGCCTGAATCGTTACCACAATTGTGTTTCTCAGGGTTCCTTTGTATACCCACAGTATCAACTCCAAATTCAAACTTGTAGAGTAAACCCCTCAAGCCCTGTTAGAGTTGTTAAGATCCTGGATTAGGTTTGAGGGTTTACGCTTATCTAGGCCTTGTTAGGGATCTCCACCCGAAACCAACGGTGCTCATAATCAGAGTCTTCCTATTGTCCTCGAGTGGCGCCTTTTTTTCTGAAATGCTCACAGGGTTTCGTGCGAAATACAAGGGCCTTGATCATTGCAATACAGACTTTGAGATATAGCCCCTAAGCCCTGAACCCTAAACCCTGAACCCTAAACCCTAAACCCTAAACCCTGAACCCTGAATAGAAGTGCCAAGGAGAAATGGAGGGCCACTGCTTCGCCTTTGAAAGGCTCTCGTAAACCCTAAACGCTAAAACTCTACCGTGTAATATAGGGGCCTGAATGATTGCCTATACTATTTTTGGGGGTTCCTTTCTATTACTTTTTTTATTATTTTTATTGAGGTTATTATGATTAAAGTATAACATACACCAAAACCCTATTCTATTTATTAAGGCCCCTATATTATCGGCCCGGATGCCCATGTGAAGCCGATCTAAGAGGCGTAAAACGCCCCATTCGAACTCTTTTGCCCTTACAAGGTCTTTCTCGTCTTGTGAAGCCCGTATGAACATCCTTGTGAAGCCTTCACAGACCCCTAAATCCCTTCCTATGACCAAAAATTAAGGGATCGAGTCCCACGCCTTACAGCAAGCCCGAAGCACCTAGCGGACCTGCTTAAAGCTTGCAACCTACGAGAGCCCTGTGCAACTCGGGTTTGGGGTTCAACCCTCAGCCCTAAATCCAAAAAACTTAAGCCCCTAAACCCAAAACCCTAACCCAACACCAGAAACCCCAAGACCCTAAACGCAAAACCCTAACCCAAGACCAGAAACCCCAAGCCCTTAAACCTAAAACCATAGACCCTAAACCAGAAACCCGAGGACTGTAAACCCTAAACCCTAAGCCCCTAAACTCCTTTGGGTTAAGGGTACCGGAAGCCCTGGGAACAAAGGGCACAAACCTTGGCAACCTGAATCTTGCCACTTAGAGGGGTTTTAGGGTTTCGGGTATAGGGTTTAGGGGTTTAGGGTTTGAGGTTTAGGGTTAGGGTTCAGTTTTAGGGCTTAAGGTTTAGGCTTAGAGTTTAGGGTGTAGGGTTTAAAATTTAGGGTATAGGGGTTAGGGTTGGGGTTTAGGGGCTAAGCCTAGAAGGCCTCTGATCTTTGATGCGTCTTCGTCTGGATATGGGTCCCGCGTCTAGGCTCGAAGGGCCGTGAGTGTCCGCTGGATCGCTTTCACAGTTTGGGTTTAGGGTTTAGGG